TGTTAAAGTAATAACATTATATGGCATACTAAAATCTGGAGTTGGTAAACTAACCAATAATGTTTCTGTATAAATACGAATTGGAAAATATATACATTCCGCTAATGATTTTTTTGTTGCAAGTAACATGTTTGTTGAATTACTATTATTCATAATTTTTGTATTGAAGCTATATTTACAAAATAATTGATTAATTTTTTGCTAATAAACTTTGACAGCTGGTCATAAATCATTGTTATAAAATAAAAAATAATATACATATCGGCAGATTTGTGAAATTAGGTCTACACAGGTATCTAAAATAATTTAAGCGATTAACAATAATTATACAAAAGTTTTGTATCATTATTGTTAATTACCCTTAAATTATTTTTATATACATACACCCAATAAAAAAACCTACACTAAATAGCAATCGTATATTTTTTAATCACTAAAATTTAGAGCGCATTTTACAAACCCATGTAACCCAATTTCGCCAATCTGCTAATATAATACAAAACATACCTCAAAAAATCGTCATCAATCACTCCAGTAGAAATAATCCCACTTCCAATATCAAATCCCCTATTAGCATCAGGTGGATGTTCAGTATATTTCAAAAATACCTTATCAAAATTTATTGATAATGTTGTTAACGAGTTTGGCGGCAGTAACATCTCAGCTTCAATAACATTAGGTCTGGATCTGTCCACTGCTGGTTGAAAGTATAGATCTTTAATAGGATAATCTTTATTTTATTTTTTTTGTAACAAAAAAAAATTGATTAGTTTAATGTTTGTAAAAGTAGATTTAACATAAAATAACAATAATCAGATACCTGCATCAAATTTTGTATCCTTCCCATTTATCCGGACTTTGAGTGTATGCAAATATAACTTCAAATACCAAGGTATAACATCATAATATATTATAGGTATAGAAGTATTTGGACTTTTGTTAAATATATTAACTTTTATTCCACCTCTTTCTTGACCATAGCCTACAAAACACCAATGTACCAAAATATTATGAAAACAAATATATAATTAAATCTATAATGAGAATGGGATCATTTATATTGACCTGTAAAAAATCGATGTGCAAGAAGTCGTGGCTGAACAGAATTAAGATCTAAAAAATAAAAATTTTAGGTTTAAGTCAAATTGATATAATATAATATTATCACTATTCAGAACAAAGTTAAAAATCATTATACTATATTCAAATTGATCTTCATTCCATCGCATTGA